GTTTGGGGTATTGCATGTGAGAGGTTGTGTGCATGTATGTGAATTGTTACGTTTGTGGGCTGTTTGTATTGTTTGTGTGAGGGGAGGGTTATTCTGCATTTCTCTGTATATCTAGCAGTGTGGATGGCTTCCCTGGGTTCCAGTGGGGACCAGGCTGGCCAGGTATAGGTCAAGGACAGGAGCTGCAACAGCAGCTGCAGACTGCTCTACTACAGAGTGGATTCCCATTCACAAGTGCTGGGAGGAAGGGATCTGAGATCACTTCCTCTATGTGCTGCAGTGCATAAATTGAGGATTGTCCTTCACCACCTCTTCGTATTAGCAGATATCTGAAATTTTACTGGGACTCCTGATAGGCCAGAGCCTGTTTGGCTCTAGTAGCCTTGAGTGCCGTACAAAGACACCTTGAGTGCCGTGTGTGGCACTAGTGCCGTAGGTTGCCTACCCCTGATGTAGGGTATGGTATGATAGCAGGATGCCACATGCTCTAACAGAGGGTATATATCGATATGACAGACTTTATAAAATAAGAGCAAGGCTGGTCATTTATAACATCTCTTTCTGCCAATATTCTATCTTTCGAGTGTTCCTGATAATCCCAATCACGTGGTCTATCCTTGGATCCGCCTTTAGTAACGTCTGTTTCTTTATTACTATACAAGTGATGTTTGGGGCTCACATTGGTTTTATTTCATGTTTATCTTTAAATAAAGTAACCGCACAGTGTAATACTATTGGGGACCCCATGGTTCTCCTTTTGTATTGCAGCATATACACAGAAAAAAATCAGGAGTTAACCCCACTCCCTGCAGGGCTCTGGTAAAAGTCAATGCACTAATTGGGACACGCAGTTAAACCGTTTTTTGTATACACAGTATACACTACGGATATGGTTATTTTATTTATTTTACAGAACATGACAATCTTCAGAATGAATTGTTTAGCAGTGTCAATGTTATAATATGTATTTGCACTAAAAGTGTCGCTTTATGAAAGGTGTATAATAAACACTTTATGCCGTTTGCACATTAAGAGGTTTTATAGTGTAACACTAAAGCTGGTTGGTGGCTATATTTTGCGATGTGTGAGGAGAGTGTGTGCAGCTGAAACACAATTGTGTGGCAATGCAATATTTTAAATGAGGTTACATGTACAGTGTTGAGCAAGTTACAAATATTTGTCCATGAACCTTGGCTGCACTGGACGCAATGTATCAACTCAATCAGTTCAAAATGGCCGACCTAAATGACACAACTTCAATGGAAAGACAAAAGGGAATTGGGGGCACACCTGGAACATGCATTTTGCAGGAATGGTGCTACCGTAGTGACCAAAGTTTATACATAACAAAGATTACGGAACAGTGGACACATAAAAATAAATTTTTCACAAAAAACAATAAATCAACAAATATTGCTCATTTCGGTTTTTTTTCATTCTCTATTTCCCATATTTCCTTATCTTATCGACTACCCCGTTGTGATGTACTGATTTATTTTTGGAAGGGTTCTACTTTGTTACTTAAAATCCCCTATCTCAGCAAACAAATATGGGGATTCAATTCCACCATATGGACGTATTGTGTAAATAAATAGTGCCAATCTTACAACAGATTATTAAAATACACTTTTGCTTATTTAACACAGGCACTATTTAATTTGTCTCCCACGTTGGAATTAGTGTAGGACCCACCAATATTGGGAAGTACTGGTGGGCTTAACACAATATGGAACAGAATCCCCATATTTGTTTGCTCAGATAGGTGATTTTTAAGGAGCTTTATAAATTTTTTAAATGTATTTTTATGTGTGCGCCATTCCTTAATCTGTATTATAACTTCACTGGAAGACATGTACTTGGCCATTAAAGCGTAGAGCTCAGTCTGCACAATGTAGAGAGTCAACAGCCAGCGGCCTACCTTCAAGACCATCTCTAGTGATCTCAATCTCTGTGGCTCCATTGTTGTGTCCACTCATTCAGTGTGTTCTCTTTCACCTTGAACCTTACTTGCAACTTGGTTCTAGCACACCACTACGGCAACGGCTGTATCAATAAACAAATGGTTCCACAGAAGGTTAGAAATGTCAAGGCAGCCATTTTGAACATACAGTTAAAGGACCACTATAGTGCCCTGAGGGTGCCCCCACCCTCAGGGTCCCCCTCCCGCCCAGCTCTGGAAGGGGGAAAGGGGTAAAAACTTACCTTTTTCCAGCGATGGGCGCGGAGCTCTCCTCCTCCGATCCTCCTTCTCTCCTCCCCATCGGCTGAATGCGCACGCGCGGCAAGAGCTGCGCAGGCATTCAGCCGGTCGCATAGGAAAGCATTTACAATGCTTTCCTATGGACGCTGGCGTGCTCTCACTGTGAAAATCACAGTGAGAAGCACGCAAGCGCCTCTAGCGGCTGCCAATGAGACAGCCGCTAGAGGGAATGGGGGAAGGCTTAACCCATTCATAAACATAGCAGTTTCTCTGAAACTGCTATGTTTTTTAAAAAATGGGTTAACCCTAGCTGGACCTGCACCCAGACCACTTCATTAAGCTGAAGTCGTCTGGGTGCCTAGAGTGGTCCTTTAAGGAATTATATGATATTATTTAACAAATATTGGGCATTTCAGTTTTTTTATTCTCTACTTCTCATACTCCCTTGTCTTATCGACTAGCCCGTTCTGATTGTATTGATTTATTTTTGGAAGGGTCCTACTTTGTTAATCTAAAATAGAGAAAGATGACTCTGCATTTTAATTAGTGCCTCTTCGTGTCTTTAAAGCCAATGTTTGTGTGTCTCGTCTGTGTATGAATAGCACTTTTATGTTGTTTTGATCTCATACCTGATGAAAATTATGATATGCCATAAAGTATTTTTTTTTTTTTTATCAGAAGGATATTTTGCCCCAACCAGCAGACCTGCTTATATTAATCAATTGCTTTCATGACACTAACTTCTTTTTATCATTAGTGTGGAATTCTCGTAACGAGTTTTATCTGCAGAACTCAAAGAGAATTCTTGACGAGAAATGCAGCCACAATGTGAGCGTTCAGGTGAACTTTTCCACCCATTTCCAGTATTTTCTGTATTTTATAGCTTGATTATTCATATTAATGATAATATCACCTTTATTACGTACCTGCTCTACCTGTTCTGTTAGAAGCCCACAAGAAAACAACTTTTCCAGTCTGGGATGCTAATCATCAGGGTTGACCTACTTCCTATTCTCTTTTTCATTTCAAAAGCTCAGCTAAAAATCCATAAATTAAGGAAATTAACTGATGGAGCCTCTGGCATCTTTGTAAGCTATTTAAATCTTTAAATTTACAACATCTTCTGCATATATCAAGTAATTGAACTAACTGCGGGGATGTAACTTTAATGAGAAAATTTCCCTTTTCTGCTAGAGTTCGTAGTCCAAAGGAAAAAAAAAAGTCTTACCCCTAGGAAGAAAAAGTATTCCTCCCGTGAGCGTGAAAGACTTTCGAGAGTACTTTGAAGCTTCTGTGATATGGTAACAATAAAGACATAATGCATAATACAAATCACAGAACCTGATGCTTTCATAAGCACTAATGACCACAAAGATCTGTTCTATTCTCTGACCTTAAAACAAAACCATTTGACCTACAACGTAGGAGGTGAAAAAAATGAATTGAAATGACTATGGCGCACTTGCAACAGGTCCCCACTAGTAGGCACTAAAGATCTAAAAATTACAAAAATGGAGGCGTTTGCATGTTAACAATTCCCCTTAAGTATTATTTTCTTATGTCCACAAGAAAAGTGAAAATATTTGGTCGCAAGACCACATTCCCCAAAATAAAGGAGAGGTCACCATAAATAACTTTTGCGTGCGTGAAACCTCCATTTTTATTTCTCCTGTGTTACATCCTGAAGATATCAGGGACTACTTGGCACACAGACGTTACCCCCGGGGATGAAGTGCTTTTTAAAAGTGTGTCACCCTGGCAGGCTACGGGCATAACTGATAAACCAAAATACCCTGCGGAACTCTACTCTTAAAGAGGTTCTGCAGCAGATGAGATGGATTCATTAAGTCAATAATCTAAGCTTACAACACGATGGGGGCTAATACCCTCTTTTGCCACTTTCAGTCTCAACGCCCCCACTCAACCTTGGCGTAAAAGTTTTTCTATTTTTTTTTTTTTATTGTTCTGTTTCGTTTTGGTTTTTTTTTTGGTTACCTTTGTTACATGTCTACTTTTTAACGATAAACCCAGCAAAGATGCAGTGCTGGAAGGGAGGAGGGGGGGCACTTTATGTGTCTGCATGGAAAATCTTCATAGCAGACAGCTCCAGCAAACCGTGCTCTATAATTGAAATGGCGCGTTTAGCCAGGGGCGAGTGGAGAGGGTGCATTTTGAAACAGCAAAAAGCTTGTCCATATACGTCATTTGGTATTAATGGCCTCCAGGAAATCTAATGCCAGACATTAGCAAACAGGGTGAAAGGGGAACCTGGGGGGAGGGAGGGGTGTATGGAAAGAGAAAATTGGGGGGTAGTTACAATGTCATTTTTTTTATCACAGATGGGTGAGGTTATTTGTATAAGTGCCAGGGAGATTAGATATTAAGAGGGGGTACTTGGGGGAATAAAAATTTTAAAGGGAATTGTGTTAAAGGGGGAGGGTGAAAATAAAAGGGGGCGCTTTGAAGGATCATAGAATGAGATGAGGGTATTTCGTGGGAAAGTAAGGGGTTTGTAATCATTTTTAAGGAATTTGGGGAGAAGCTAGAATCTGGTGTAGCCAGGGCTATGTACCCCCTTCCCCCCCCATATTTTAACTTTGCCAACAAGTTGCAGAGTGGCTCAGTATCTGCAGCACACACAGAGTCAAAGGATGTGAGCAAAACGTGCACTGTGTTACTTATTTGGGAACTGAAAATTTATGCCTAGTTGAAAATGCCCCAGGAAATATTACATCAGACGAAATGACAATGATTAAAATCAGCTTTTTTTTTTTCCCCTACTCTTTCATTCCTTCTCTCTCTCTCTCTCTGCTCCGTCTGGTGAAAACGTGACAGTAAACCCGGTGATAACCAAACCGTTATCCTCCTCCGAGCTGCCACCGTGATACCGTTAGAAGGATCAGAGGCGGATTAAGGAGGGGGCAGAGAGAGAGGGGGGGGAGAAAACATGTCATTTTGCCTGCAATATGAACACAGGCTGAGCTGGGCTAGTTAATTGGAGCTAATCCTTGCCCTGGAGGCGTTTTGGGAGCCCTGAGCTTTGTGTGTGAGAGTGAGTGCAGTCAGTGGGAGTGAGGGTGAGTCTGGCTGCAGTTGAGGCTCCTGGCTGGCTGGAGGATTTTTTGGGGGGGGTATTTGTTTCTGGAAGACAAGCTGAAGGGGAGCCTTGCTGAGACAGAGGAGAAGGGGGCAGCCTGCTTCCAGTGACTGAGAGAAGAGGGGCAAATCTGGCCAAGATCAAGGTGAGAGGGGGGCAGAGGGTGCGGGAGGGGGGGCTGGTTTTGGAAAGTGACTTTAACTAGTCTGGACAGAGATGGATGGAAGATCCTGCTCTCCCCTTTTGTTCCCTTTCCCTGTCCCCCCCTCCTTCCAGTCACTCAGGGGGTGCCGGGGTCATGGAACTTGGGGGGAGGTGGGTAAATTGGGGACAGATCCTGTGTGGGGGGTACTGACTCCCCATATCTTGGTCTGGGCTATAACTGGGTGAATGCGGTGCTGGGGGTTTGTGTGCGATATGAAGGCGATATGAGGGATGTGCTATGTACTAATGGTGTATGCATGGTATCAGTGGGCATTTAACTGTTTGCCAGAGTTTGCCACATGGAGACCATGCTATGTGTGAGGATCGATAGAGAGGTATGGCTTATTCACTAAACTGTGAGTTTGAAATACAGTTTTATAAAAAGCATATTTTTCCCCCTAATTTGGCTAAACCGGTGTAAATGTTGAAATTGTATTTCCAGTTTGCAGTTTGCTCCCAGAGTGTGTAAAGTGAGGCTGGGTTTAATAAGGCGGCTAGTGGGAGGGTATGATGTTTGGAGAGGTCCTTGGTAGGTAGCAGGTTGGTTCCTGGTTTCCTGATACAAAAGGGACAAGTGTCAGGAAGTAGAGAATTTGCTCTCCCCTCACCCCATGCTGCAAGACTTAGCCAAAAGTTTCCAGCTATTCCCAGCCTGATACAGTGTGTGCTGTGTGTTCTGTCTGATATCTGAATGACAATAGCTGTGCAGTGTTAAACATTCCACTGTCTGTATCTAGGTAGAAAAGGCATGTTTGGCTCCTGTCATTATCTGTTTATTGGATTCAGGTAGGTGCCCCTGCCATTCTAGGTGGAGGACCCTTGGACTGGGTTTGTATGATGGCAGTTATAACACACTGCCTATATGTGCATATCTTGCCCCTTTGTCGAGTGCCGGGGGGCAACACATTTTTATTTTTTTAATCTTCATAATCCTGTTTGCAAGCTGTGATGTAATTTTAATTTAACCCTTTGGAACCTGTAGGGTCAGACTCCTCCCCTCTGAGTTTAGAGGGTTAATGTCATGTCCAAACCTGCCATCAATCCCCCAAACTGTTGGCAGCATGGACCAACCTCCCACCCTAGACACGTAAGGGTTAAACTAAGCTAACCCATGTGTTATCACAAATCTTCCAAACCCCCCTCCCCCCCCCCAAAAAAAGTGACATATTTGCAAAGCGGGGACAATGAACTTGATTAAGACTTCAAATCTATATCTTTTCCTGGTCCCTTTTTTCGCCATCTATTGTTGGTTCCTAGAATGCCTGCACCTTAGTCACCTTTTACCCGCACTGTCCTCTCCCCCTGCTCTCTGCATCTGTAATTCCATATTGGTTACTAGGCCCTAGAGCCATATGCAGAGGTGGGAAAAGCTTTATCCTCCCAAAACTTCTTACACTTTTTGAATTTTTTTTTTTCTGGGATCTGAATGTATCATCCCCGTCTCTGTGTGTTGTGTTAAACACGTATTCCTGTAGGCTTTTGTACAAAAAAAATTAAAAAGAAAGACGAGACAGACACCACCCTTCTGCAGTACCCAGCAACTTTCAACATTCTTCGCCTTGGGCAAATCCCCCCAAGCCAAGAAACTGAATGGAGTTCTCACAAATGCCTTCTGTTTATACCTTTTATGGCTAAAATAACAGCTCCACAAAGAGGCAACTTCACGGAGAAACGATTTTTTGAAATCATCTCAAGCTGTACTTGTATAGCTAGTTTAATCACCCCTAGAGAGCTTAACAACTGTGAACACAATGGGACACAAAATCATTTTGTGTGCAAATGAGCATGTGCCATTCTGAGCGTTTCACTTTACATGGGCAAATAGCTTTTACAAGCAACATTTGTGCAGTTAGTCTACAGAGGCAGGGGGAAGATAATCTGGCTTTGAAAGAACTTGATGTGCCATTCTGGGAGGGAAAAAAAACAAAACAAAACTCCATTTTCACATAATTTGGGGACCAGGCTGTATTGGTTTCGCCTGAAGCGGGATCTGCTGTTTCTAAATACTTCCTTGTGCTTCAAATTGGTTTTCCTGATCTTTGTTTTTTTGTTTTTTTTTCTTAATGCAATTAAAGTCTGTGATTATTTTACATAGAATAAATTAATTTAATTGTGTTTAACCCTGATAGTGCTGAAAATCTGCAGCGTTTGGCACAAAGGCATGCGCGGGGCAGGGTTTTTTCCAGATGTGTGAAGGTAGATTATTTAATTGGGCAACAGGTCATCAGGTAGGAGGACTGGCCAAGCTCTGTCTGTAATTGACATCTGGGCTAATAGACTTTAAAGCACTTTACTGACAACAACTTATAAAGAAATGCATTTCAAATTTATTTATTTTTCCTTTTTTTAAATTTAAGGTGACTTAAAGGTTGAGTATAGCAGAAATTCTTCACGCTGCTTTAGCCATTACTAGTGAGGTATAATTTTGGAATATTGTGTCCAGTCTAGGAGCAACCGACTTCAAAAGGACAGAGATCAGCTAGATAGAATTCAAAGGAAGGCTAGTAAAATGGTGAATGGCCTAGGGCTTCAACGCCTGACTGCTGTATGCCTTCAAGGGAAAGATGAGGAATGATCGAAACCTTCAAAACAATAAAGGATTAAATTACTTTGAAGAAAGAAGCATTGTCAATAAAAAGGGAACAGTACAACAAGCTCAGATTTGAAACTGCTTGGGTGGAAAACTAGGGGATAACGTGAGAACATACTTCCTTACAGAAGGGTAGTGGATACCTGGAGATGCCATCCAGTGGAAAATAGAAAAACTAACACACTAACTGGTGGAATGATATCTCCTGAATAATAAGCCATACCAGTTAAATTAGACTATATGGGCCCAGTCAGTGCACTGTCTAGGGCAATATACAGGGCAACTAGTATCCCCACTGTAAAAGAATTGGGACACTTGCTGTGCCCTGGGTTAGGATTGGATTGGGAGCCCTGTTCTAGGATTCTATGTTCAACAGATCCGATTACTGCAGATTGCAGAAAGAAATCACTAACTGCAGCTGGGGCCCAAAACTTTCCATGTGATCTGTCCCTATGGGTCTGGATGCCAGAGGTGCAAGCAACGTGTTGAGCACCCACCCAGCTCTCAAAGGATTTGGTAGAAGTAGGCTTAATTTATATTTACCTCTTCCACTCTCGGAACGATGATAAAAGTCTTTAGTGACATTTTGAACTCGAGAGGCGAAAAGGAAATGTAAAAAAATTGCCAGAATCCTACGTGGAGATGTAGTTTACTAATGTGTTGTTGCTGCAGATTCTAATGAAATGCTAAAAAAAAAAAACAATGACAGAGATCAGAATATGTTACGATATATTTCATGCTGTGATCCCCAAACCAGACTTTACACAAACTGTGTCTGCCTTTACAGGTGCATGTTGTAAGGGTCTTTGGGAATTAGCTGATTTTAGACTTGAAGTTCTACAAAACAGCAAATTAAACTCTAAAACGGGCTCCGTGTGTTGTGTGTATGGACAATATATATAATGTGTGTGGCATCCTTTAATCATTGTGTACAGTGTATATAGCTGGTGGCATGTCTTGGGCTTTAGCAATGCTGAGAGAGAGCATAGCCTGTGCATCGAATAGGTGGTGGGATTCCTTGGGCTGTAAATACTTGTAATATATAGTTGCGTGCAATTCTTTTGGCTGTATTTTCTACCTGCTTTTAGGGAACACTGAGCCATATAAATGTGAATTGGACAATATATACACATACACAAGTTTGCTGTGTATACAGGATCTCTGTATATCTAGCGTGTTTCCATTGATAGTATACAGGTGTGTGCAGGACAGTATAGGTGCATATACATATAACACGATTATAGTTAGTGTAAAAGTATGTTGATAACCTGTATATCTATTTATAATCTATATACACACACTATATTATGTAGCTATATTTGGTATTTATAGAATTTTGGAAACCGTGTCCTCTTTTATGACCTGTGAAATGCCAGGAGGGTGGGAGGGGGGTGTCCATAAACCTGGAATTAGTTGAAATGAACAGAGGAAATTTGGAATAATAGCCAAGGTGGAATCAATTTTGCATTTGAGAATATTCCATTATGACCAATTTGGCCTAAACTTTTACATTTCTCCACAGTTCCCAGTTTAGTGCATAACCTCCAAGTATGTTCCCTGAGAGGCAGGCCGGATAATGGGCATCTACCACCCATCCCGTCCGGTGATGTACACCTACCAGCAGGTGGAATGTCACCTCCGGGACTTACCTTGCATATTAAGACCAGTTTCCTATGGTAAACAGTCACTGACACTTGAATTTTCCAATAACGAACCTATAGGAAACGTAAAATATCTCCTGCTATCTAAAGTAACAAACTAAACCGCTTCTATTTTGTTCCGGACAAGTCTCGTTATTATTAGGCTATTCTCTTCTGAACACTGCTCCAGGTCTTTTTACTGGTCAGAGAATGTTGGCCAAGTTCTGCTTGGTTTTCTAAACAGTGTAATGTGTTGTAACAATGCTAGCGGTTTTTACTAAAGAATGACTTGTGATTTTACAACTGCTTTAAAACCAGCAGAACTTCATCTTAATTCAAAGTTTAGTTTGTTTGTTTTTATTGCAAGTTGATTATTTTCGCCTATATTTTGAAAACCATTGCCAACAATTCACAGCTCCCCATTTAGTGAATGAAGCCTTTAATGTCGCTGAGTTGTGTATTTAAGCTGTTGATGGAGATCTTATTGAAGCTTTTATGGGATGTTAATAATAATATCTGGCCATTTAAATCTAATTAAACTGAGACTAGCTAATAATATCTATACAGAACATCATAATAACATGAGACCTATTTGATGCACTGAGTCCAGTTTGGGACAGGGAAAGAGGTCTATTCACGTATCTGGAAATAATGGAGAACTGATAATCGAATTGCAAAGTTTGGATTAAAACAGCCAGCTTGTTAAAATTCAAACACAGAAATTTGCTGTACGCTCAAACTCCTAGTGCTGCTATAGTAGCATCAGCCCAAATGTATAAAAAAAACAAAATGTAACAAGTTACCCCGCACATTATCCCAAACCCCTATGTCCATTTCAAAAGCAGAGGTTACCTCTGCACCGAGCAATAATGTGTAAGATCACCTACCAATGTCAGGGCAAGCCTCGTAGGTAAGTCCTACACTAACCGTTCACCTTAATGCTTTAATTGGAAAAATACTCTAAGAACGTAAGGTAGTTTTTAATCTCTGATATTTTTACCTTCATTTTGCAGTTTTAGTTTTTTGTTTTTTTTAAGTTCCACAATTCCCAGTTGTTAATAGACCCAAGAACCTTCTTTTCAAGCAATATCATGACTAGTATTGACAGCACATAGAACACGAGAGTCCAATTTATGCAAAAATATTTAAATTCTCTTTCAGTGGTCAGATTGGTAATTGCATTATATTATAGCTGATTTCAATACGCCTCAAGTGAATCGATAATTTGGGAAGAGATTTCAATGTGAAACGATTTATTGGTAGTAGATTTCTAAAATCGTCGGAAAGACGAGGTTAAAAGACAAAACCGTTATTTGTATCTGTTTTTTTTTTTTTTTTTTTCTCCCCTCTCTCCACTTGTTTTAGTGGGAGGGTATTTTATTTTTGCAGGTGAGCGAAGACATCAGAGACATGTTACTGTAAATGGATTGATGTGAAATTTACGTGGTGTATAAACTAAATGCCTCAGGTATTGAGGAAGTCACTAATTTAGAGGTGTCTCGTTATTGAGACAAACTTGCAAAAGCCCCTGAATCCCAATTCACAAATTGGTTATTCGTTTGTCAGGGGGATATTTCACATCTAACACATAAGCCCACGACCTTTAATTAGAATTTTGCAGTTTGTTCTATGCCCCTTGAGGCTGACACCTTGAAAAAAAATGCTCCTGATTTCTTATTGCTAATAAGCAAATTCCTCCTACCCTCTGGTATTTTGAAGAGAATGATGCAAATAATCTTAATTGCAGCACTGGCAATAATTTGTTAGCTGAATATATGATCAGGCAGATGCAGAAACGATCTGATGAGACCTATGATCATATCAGCATCGGATCGTTTGTGGTCACAGGGAAGGAACGCTCATCTTTTTCTCTTTCACTTCCAGGAGGGAAGCAGCATGTCCCGTCTGTCGTTAACCCGCTCTCCGGTCTCTCCTCTGGCTTCCCAAGGAATACCACTCCCAGCACAGCTCACGAAGTCTAACGCACCTGTGCATATTGATGTAGGAGGGCACATGTACACAAGCAGCCTGGCAACTCTAACTAAATACCCAGACTCCAGGTAAGAAGACACCACCTCTATGTACCAGGTTAATTAGTGATACAATTAGCTGCTAGAAATTCAAAATATAAACAGCTCAGTCGTAAGAATTCTTCGCTTTATTTTCTAAAATTGTATTTCAGAAAAATTATAACTCGTGTGTGTTTTGGGATGAATTTAAAATTTGATATATTTTTATTATCCAGTAGAATTCAATGATAACGTAAACTAAAGGACCACTTGGCGTAAAGTGCGCCTGGCGTACCAAGTTTTCTATCATGTGTAATTTTGTTACACCTTTTATTTCGGCTTTAAAGTGTCCCTGAACGAGCGTAGAAATCTTTAGTTAACCATTAATTTTCCTACCTGCGAGTCTGATTTTGGTAAATGAAAAAGTGACTGATCACCACTAACCTGGCGCAGTCTTTTTAAACAGTTTGCTGAAAGATGATGTCATCTGATGATGGGTAGATTATTTTTGCTTGTTTTTCTTTAACGTTTAGTCTACTAAAAACAATGAACTGGTTGTAGATGAAAGTGGTTGTGATTTTGTTTGTTTGCTTAATTTCATGCTTTGAGAATACGTAGAGTTTTAGTTACTAAACAGTGAGGGGTTAAATCACTATAAACACTGATTTGCAGAGAAATGAAATCTGAATGAAAAAAAATATAGGGCACAGAGATGACAGCTTCAATATAGTCACAATTCTGGTTATTGTAGCGTATGTTTTGTGATTCGGATGTAATACAGTTCGGTGTTTAGTGAATAGACCCCTGAGATGACTTAAGAAACAGCTTGCAAAGTTTAGACCAGAATTCAATCTATACCTCTGAATTATAAATGCTATCAAACTCTACCATTACAGCCTAAAGAATAACCTAAGGTGGTTCTCAGCCAAGCTAGCTGTTATATAAATATACCAAGTATGTTATATTTACTAAATGTTTTTATTTAATGTGCTTAATGAAAACAGCTGTAGCGTGTTAACACAGAATTTCCAAGGTTCTGTTTATTTTTAAAAGCAGCATTAACACCCCCTAATGGGAAGGGAGATGTATTTTCTGCATTTATTTACAGTGTATACGGACAGACAGCGTGCCCACTTTTTTTCGGTACACTTCTGATTTCTACACTGTGTTGGGGAAAGCTTGAGAGAGCTACTGGGAGTTTAGAGAATTCATATCACCCGGTGTGAAATCATTTTACTAATCACAGCCGCTCGTCTTGGATCCCAGCAGTGATTAACAAATTGATTTCACACTGGCAGTGTATGAATTCTGCATTGTGCTGGGCAGATTGCTCAAGTCCTGCCTGACTTAATGAAGAATGTTTAAGGGGTTTTTGTTCACCAAACATCAAACTGTGGCAGCATTGTAGCATTTTGGCACAAATAGGTAAGCAGTGACAATAGCAGAGTTGGAGAATTGATCCAAATTCAGTATTTTAACATACCGTTTGTAATTCAATTTCCAGTTTTTACAATTTGGTGCTTAGTGGACACAATGCAAAGCTTGCTCTTCCAAAGAAAAAAAGCAAACTGACAACCTATTGAGAATCTACCTGGCTGTTAGCCTAGCTGTGGATGTGCACCCAGCCCCATCTGATAGAGAATTGGCTGCTAGTTTAAATACTCCATGTGCTTTTTACATTAACTGTGCATCCATTAACCTTTTGAGTGCTGAGGGTGTGCTCCTTAACCATCCACTGATGGTTTGGTGACTTATCCAAGTTTTTAATTAGCGTTCTCTTGTATTATGGCAACATGGAGTGTAAAATGACTTCACTGTGTCCCCCCCCCCTTTTGACACGCCTATACACACACACACATTATAAAAGCAGACGGAACGCAAGAAGCTGTAATTGGCTTCTCAAACTACATTCCCAGTAGTTACAGTTTAACTTAACTCGTTTTTTCCATTTTGCAAGGTCATACTTTGACTCAAGGACACAAGCGTCCCATGCCTCCTCTCTCTGTGCAGTCTTTTGATTTCTTAAAAATCATTTTTGTGGGTTTTGTTTTCCTCTATTTTTTTTTAGGAGGGTGAAGTGGTGTTTTGGAAGTTTTACATTGTATCACACACCACTAAGGTTATGTATGTTTAAGGCATTGGTTAAAATATGAACCTGTTACACATATAACACAAAGCAAAACTTACCTGGCTTTGTTTAAATAATTACGAATGACATACAACCTAGTATTTTGGTTGGATCTGCCTGGGAACAGAATGACACCTTTTTGGATGCTTTACGTCCGTTACTGTCAGAATTGGCCTGGATTCAGAAACCAAGGGAACGCTTTACAGCTGCTGCAAAACATACAGTAACCTTCCAGTTGTAGAATCCTATATGTTTCTGTATGGAAACCTTTAATATGATCTGTGGAGTTATTAAAGGGCCACTTTAGGCACCCAGACCACTTCAGCTTAATGAAGTGGTCTGGGTGCCAGGTCCCTCTAGGATTAACCCATTTTTTTTTTATAAACATAGCAGTTTCAGAGAAACTGCTATGTTTATAAATGGGTTAATCCAGGCTCTAAAACCTCTAGTGGCTGTCTCATTGACAGCCGCTAGAGGCGTTTGCGTGCTTCTCACTGTGAAAATCACAATGAGAACACGCAAGCGTCCATAGGAAAGCATTATGAATGCTTTCCTATGAGACTGGCTGAATGCGCGCGCAGCTCCTGCCGTGCATGCGCATTCAGCCGAAGAGGAGGAGGTGGAGAGGAGGAGGAGAGCTCCCTGCTCGGCACTGGAAAAAAAGGTAAGATTTAACCCTTTCCTCGCCATCCAGCCCGGCGGGGGTGGGGGCACCCTCAGGGCACTATAGTGGTCCTTTAAAACATGCTGATGACCACAAACACTGTATATAGATGCATCTATAAATAGTTGGAGTAACGGGGACAGGGCACATAAAATTCATGTAGTTTTTTAATTTTATTTGTGCAACTAAAACACCCATGATGCTCGGCTGGCATTGGGTTTTCTTTTAGAATGAAGCATCATGGGACTTGCAGTATCTCTAAAACTTGAGTTCTGCCTGTGTCCCAGATCTACTAAGTTAATGGGAACATGCACATTTTGTGTAAAACTGTGTGAAAATTGACATTTGTAAGATCTTTCCCAACAGGTCTGCCATAGCCATGTTTTTGGAATTGGAGGTTTGGGAGTCAAACAGACCCTGTGGGTAGTAACGTGGGATGCTTACCTGAAATAGAACATTCTCAAACCAGTCTCTTTTCTCTTCATTAGTGGAACCCTGAAATGGGTGTATATGATGCTGCCGTCTTAGGATGTGTTTAATAATTGATGACATACCTACTTGCTCGGGATCCGCTAGTCAGTCTGCGTTCATTTAAGACACATATAACGCTCACTTTGTGGATTCCTACAGCAAAACAAGTTAGAAAGTGATCTCTCAATCAGGACGCCAGTTTAATTACAAGTTCATTTGAACTCTAATTAAATTTTATTAATTTTCCGTTGTGTGCGGTTAATTATTGACGAGGCTGTAGGTACCTTTTAGATATAATAGTGGTAACATTGGTCCTCATGTTTAGATTGAAGTAAAATGCTTTGTGTCCACTAGATAACTGTGGGAATGAGAACTGGTCAGAGATCCCTAAAAATGACTTTCTTAATACAGGGGATGTGGGTGATTTTCTCCTGTTACAGTTGTTATGGTATATTCTGAAGTGGCAATCAGCACTGAAGGTTAGGATGTCTCATGCTGTCTCTGAAAGAAAAAATAAATCTTTATCCTTGTTGATGGAGCATTAGTGGACATTTAATGCAGTTAAAGGATGGCAGTGGGTTTGTAGTGGCACTCGAGTCTTTTTCAGGTTTAATAGTTTACGTCAGTAGAACCATCGCTGGTTAATATTCCAATCCTTTAGCAATTGCTAGTAGAGAAAGCAATGCTTTTCTGATATCTGTAAAGAAAACTTGGAGCCCTTCTAATACCTGTGGAATGTGGATACATGTTACTGCAGTGATGGGCATTGAGTAAAAGGAAGATGAATGTTTGTGTCACAGTTTGGCAGAATTCTGAGCCATCTTGTACTTAAGAGTCTTTCTTTTTTTTTTCTTTAATTAGGTTGTTTGGCTCTGGTTGCCCTTGTTCTCAGATTAGCCGATATAAAACTGTTTGCCTCTTTATTACTTATAAACTTTTTGCTGTTACCATCTAATGATTGTTCGCTACTTCTGACACCTCACAACCTTTAAATTGTGTCTTCTGCTCCAAAACCTGGAGGCAGTCACGCTGGTAAGAGGTAATTATTCCTCCCACGGATTCCCCAGCCGGCCTCCTTGTTGAGTTAAATATTCATTTTAGAACATATACATTAGAAAATGGATGAAAAAATGAACTTTCCAACTCCAGCAGCCTCCAAAATTCTCCTGAAAGACTACGGACCTAAAGTTCTCCTAAAATATGACTGGGCAAAGGGCATGTCCAGCTGGACATTATTACGGGACTGTGATGGCTTCATTGCTCTTTGGGAAATTAAATGTTTGAACCATTACAAATGTATCTCGTATACCGAATATACTCTGTGTCATGGACACACACCTCTAGCAAAGACAATATAAGGTGCACACAGCTAATGCTAAAGTTTTACCAGTTCAATACATTGATAATAAGTTATTTAGAGGTCACCATTTCCAGACTGAGTCCTTAAAGCTATGGCTTCGTCTGTGAGTGCTCCTTCCAGTTGCAATTAAAAAACCCATTCTGGCCACACAGGAAGTGTCCTGATACATTGTTGCTCTTACAGAAGCAAATGCTAGTGAGGTGCAATAATGGTCGCATCGAGCAGGGCAGGGTGATGTAACCTTTGCCATCGGGCAGTGCAGGATGATGTAAACTGTGCCATCAGGCAGTGCAGGGAGATGTAACCTGTGCCATTGGGCAGGGCAAGGTGATGTAACCTGTGCCATTGGGCAGGGCAAGGTGATGTAAACTGTGCCATCGGGCAGTGCAGGGAGATGTAACCTGTGCCATTGGGCAGTGCAGGGTGATGTAACCTGTGCCATTGGGCAGTGCAGGGTGATGTAACCTGTGCCATTGGGCAGGGCAAGGTGATGTAACCTGTGCCATTGGGCAGGGCAGGGTGATGTAACCTGTGCCATCGGGCAGGGCAGGGTGATGTAACCTGTGCCATCGGGCAGGTCGATTTAAGCCATGCCATGGGCTGATGTAGCAATGTGAGCATTGCTATGGGGCACGTTGGCAGTGATATTGGTAGCTTTATTAGGGGCGGTATGTTTAAGTGAAGGCCAAATAGTAGTTTATGCTGGCAATGGAGAGGTGCTGAAAAGAGCATGGGATAATGGAGAAATTGTGGTTTATTTCAGTAGAATGATGCAATCCAGAATGTTTGTTGGCTGTGTGTGATATCCGCATGTCCAAGGGGTAGTGTGTTTGTACTGGCTATGTGTGATGTCAGCAGGGCTGTGGGATAGTGAGTGTTGGCAGTGCCGTGTTTGTGTTGGCAGTGTCCTGAGTTAGTGTATTTATATTGGCAGTGCCCTGTGTTAGTGTGTTGGCAGTGCCCTGTGTTAGTGTGTTGGCAGTGCCCTGTGTTAGTGTGTTGGCAGTGCCCTGTGTTTGTGTGTTTGTTGGCAGTGCCCTGTGTTAGTATGTTTATATTTGTAGTGCTCTGTATTAGTGTGTTTATATTGGCAGTGCCCTGTGTTAGTGTGTTTATATTGGCAGTGCCCCGTGTTAGTGTATTGGCAGTGCCCCGTGTTAGTGTATTGGCAGTGCCCTGTGTTAGTGTTTTTGTTGGCAGTGCCCGGTGTTAGTGTTTTTGTTGGCAGTGCCCTGTGTTAGTGTTTTTGTTGGCAGTGCCCTGTGTTAGTGTTTTTGTTAGCAGTGCCCTGTGTTAGTATGTTTATATTTGCAGTGCCCTGTGTTACTATGTTTATATTGGTAGTGCTCTGAATTAGTGTGTTTATATTGGCAGTGCCCTGTGTTAGTTGGCAGTGCCTTGTGTTAGTGTTTTTGTTGGCAGTGCCCTGTGTTAGTGTTTTTGTTGGCAGTGCCCTGTGTTAGTGTTTTTGTTGGCAGTGCCCTGTGTTAGTGTTTTTGTTAGCTGTGCCCTGTGTTAGTATGTTTATATTGGCAGTGCCCTGTGTTAGTGTTTTTGTTGGCAGTGCCCAGTGTTAGTATGTTTATATTGGCAGTGCCCTGTGTTAGTATGTTTATATTGGCAGTGCCCTGTGTTAGTGTGTTTGTTGGCAGTGCCCTGTGTTAGTATGTTTATATTGGCAGTGCCCTGTGTTAGTATGTTTATATTTGCAGTGCCCTGTGTTAGTATGTTTATAATGGTAGTGCTCTGTATTAGTGTGTTTATATTGGCAGTGCCCTGTGTTAGTGTGTTTATATTGGCAGTGCCCTGTATTAGTGTGTTTATATTGGCAGTGCCCTGTGTTTGGCAATGCCCTGTGTTAGTGTGTTGGCAGTGCCCTGTATTAATGCAGATTTTTACCTATTATAAGTAAATATACTGGGTCATTTAATAACCTGATTATCTTACACATTTATCAAATGCAGGTTTTAGAACGCTATATGTTACAGTTACCGTTATTTAAACAAACTACATGCATCATTTTCAGGCTGGGGCTTGTTTTGGGAAAATTGGTTAAAAAGAAATCTGAATAAAAAAAAGATAATGAAAAATATGCGCTTCTGAATCCATGGATTGCATGGGGTGTATTTTTTAATTGTCTCTGTAATAAAACCATTAATAATACATTTATTCTCATTTCTGTCTGTCAGAGTTATTTATTAAAGTGTGAACTGTAGGAAATTCACATTGAAGTTTGGACAGAAGTAACAGAATAAGCCACATTCTCCAGTCGGCTACAAGAGGCCACATTCTCCAGTCTACTACGTGCTCCGTTTGGAACAAATCACAGTTCATTAAATAGCCCGGAGTATTTCCAGTACCATGCAGTAAGGGGGACAGGACAGTTTTATAGTGCTTACTATAAAGATATTTATTTTAGGCAATATAAAGGGGAAGTTGGGTAACCTCACTGATTGGGGCACATCCGTTTATATCAAAAGGCCAAAATAGGACACTCAGTGTTTGTGCACTGGGGCTGGGCAATTTTGGTAATTTCAACGTGAGATTGTGACCTCGCAATATCCATTTACAGATCTAAATATAAACAACTTTAGTATAAACACATTACTGGGAGTTTTCTTTATATATTTGCTGGGCCCTGTGACTACTGGTAGCTTGCTATAATTGGTTACTTTGATTCTGGGTCTGGGTGATGATCAGCTTTTTTTGATGCAGTTAATGTATATGGAGCTGCTCTGCCGCTAAAATATAAATTCTAATCTTCTAAACTACATTATGGTCAGACAGATTTAAAATAATGTCACAGAAGATACAGAATTGTTACTTTTTCTGTCGCAAATAATTCTAAAAAAAACAAACAACAAACCATAAGATTCTATGTTCATAATGGTTGATTTATTTGTCAACAGAGATACTTTAAAATCCAATAATATTAAAAATAATTTCTGGAACCAGGGAGGCTGTCTGTTCAGCGAGCAGTTTGTCCGTCCTTGTGAATTTTACATTACATGTTCTCTGCTTGCTGGCTTCTACAGAGAAACCCAAACTGGCCCGGGGCTCTGTGAGAATCAGGGCTGGGGGCTATTGACCGAGTGGTGCATCTGCAGCTTGTGATGAGTTCAGTTAGGAAGAAGCTGTGCTGGGAGGGGGAGGAGGAAGACCTCTCTGCCATGCACTAACCCTTTGTATGCCATAGGCGTGAACAGACGTGTTGTTGGTTCCTTGGGCATTAAAAGTTTAAACATTGTGTGAAATTGTACACCACCGATTCCTCATTTTATTTACAAGCCAGTGCAATGATTGTCATAGTCAGTACATACAAACAGCATATAATGAAGGCTGCTAAAAGCATTCTTTATTATTGATGTCCATAAAATGAACATATTGATCAGATTAACCTGGTTTTTATTTATTCATTCAGCGTCTATATGTGCATATACATTGCCAGCTGGGTAACATGGCAGAATACAGGCCAGTGACGTATGAACTTGGCACCGACGAGGTCTGAAATACATTACCCACGATGCCCCGTCTTTTAGTTGGCAAGGTATCTTGGGAAATGTAGTTCACAAAAATCCACAGAGAGCCATGACAGATATATATACAGGTGCTTTCTAGTTAAAATGAACCCACTGTCTTCATTGACCTGCTCGTGATGCAGGGTCAGACCCCTGCCTAGCTGTCATTGCCATGAGCAAACTTAATGAACATTGATCACAAGAAATTAGCATTTTCTATTTATTTTTACATAGCTCTGTAGTTATTTTGCTTTGAAATAAAAAATTCCCCGAAAGGTTAATATTAGATCCCTTTTCATTAGAGCAATCATGGGAATATAACCTGCATCACTCACTGCTGGTATGGATGGATGGGGCAGGGAAGCCGATTTTATTTTATATTGCTTTATATTTCACAGTCTGTGGTATAAAGTTGGTTGAATATTTTTTCTGCGAGCATTTCTTTAAAATGGACCTTTAACCCAGAGACAGAAACAAGGTCTGCTTCAGGCAATTAATAAAACATACTGTCTGCACTGTGCGTGGGTATCACTAATTCTCTCTATACCTTACATATATTCTAACATGAGCCATAAACGGCTCGTTCTGACAGCATGTAAATTGCACTGTGTGTACAATATGTCTGAATTCAGAAATGTCAATAACACACATTTCTTCACAATCTAGCATAAAGAAAACCACATTACTAGTTAATGATCATTGCCTTTTAGTAGGTCTGTCATACCCCTAGCCGAGACCGGAGTGAGATCTCTAATAGTCATACGTGGTTATTTACCAAAGTGTAACATCATTTTAATTTTGCCTCTTTTGGCTCAAAATCTGAAATTCACTTTGATGTAGACATACTAGACATAGTAGAAGCGATTAGTGGGTCTATTTACTCCTAACATAGCACTGAGTCCTAGAAGATATTTACCTATTATAAGCAAATATAATGAGTATTTAATTACCAGTTTATCTCATGCAGATCTTAGATCTATATCGGTTATTAAATTTAATACACCCTCAACCCTCTAAACATTACCTACTGTATAAAACATAGAGGAGATAAACCCATTTAGGGCTTGCAAACCAGATATATTTTGTGAAAATGTTCAATTCCCAAGTTCGAGTCTGCAAAGTGTCGCATACATAGTAATGCTGTTCTACAACCAGTGGAGACCTAGCTATTTACATACATGTCCGCCTCTCTCACAAGTGAACTTATATCGGGGTCTCTGATAAGGTGAGAAGGATAGGTAATTGAAGACTGTTTTCTTGTCATTTCAGGATAAGCCGGCTGTTTAACGGCACTGAACCCATTGTTTTGGACAGTCTTAAACAGCATTACTTTATTGACCGAGACGGTGAAATTTTCCGATACATATTAAGTTTTCTACGAACGTGTAAACTACTCCTCCCTGAAGACTTTAAGGTAAGAGACTGAAAGGTAACTCATAGAATGTTCCTCTAGGGGTAAAATGCAACTCATAGAATGTTCCTCTAGCGGTAAATGCAACTCATAGAATGTTCCTCTAGGGGTAAGAGGCAACTCATAGAATGTTCCTCTAGGGGTAAAAGGCAACTCATAGAATGTTCCTCTAGGGGTAAAAGGCAACTCATAGAATGTTCCTCTAAGGGTAAAAGGCAACTCATAGAATGTTCCTCTGTGGCTAATTTTCCGATACATATAATTTCTAATTAGTGGGATAATAGCTGCTTGATCCAAGGAGACATCTGACTGCTATTTTGAGGTCAAGAAGGAATTTTTTTCCTAGTTTGTTGCAAAATTGGAAACCCTTCAGACTGTTTTTTTTTTTTTTTTGCCTTCTTTTGGATCAACAGCAAAAACATATGTGATGAAGGCTGAACTTGATGGACGCAAGTCTCTTTTCAACTATGTAACTGTAATTTCAAGTGTGAAAAGCAGTAAACAGTATCTAACTTCTGGCTAAATTCCATTGTGTACAAAGTGCCTTCAAACTGTGTCTTACGATGGCATAAAACCAGCGAACTTTCATATTCCACCTAATTCTGCCTATCAAGTTAAAATTGATTGTAACTATTATTATTATTATAAGGCCGAAACATACTCCACAGCGATGTGCAATGGATAACTAAAACTAAAGAAACTGGACTAACCATACAGAAAAGGGAAAGTATTAAAAAGGAAGATCGAGTGATTGGTGTATAGAGTCTGTATTTTACCGTATACATTATTTACATAGTTATACTACATCCTAGAGTTAGGGTAGACCACGACATGACAAGTTGTATAATGTGAGACATGGACAAAATGAGAGAACGTGAGGAACTTTTTCTGAGGACCTGGAAACATTGGAGAGGGTGAGGTAGGACATTCCATTAGAATGGGGAACCCCTGGACCCTGAACGAACCATGTACACAAGTTGGGGCAAACTGAAGTACAGTTTGGCATAAGAGAGGGACTAAAATGGTGTGTGCTTGGCTACTTAACAGAGTATATGTATTTTAGGTTTAGAGTTGTGGAGAGCTATGTATGTGAGAACTTTGGTGTATAAAAAAGCCAATGCAAGGATTGTATAGACAGTAAGAGAGAAATGTAGAAACTTGGGTTGTGTTTAGGTCAATAAAGAAAGAGTTGCACTAGTTGCGATGGGAAGTGATATGTGTTTGAACAACAGTTTTGATCTGATCTTCTGCTAGAAAGACATGTACAAACAAGGGACATTCAAAGATTAACTGGTCCACAGGGGGAAACGGGGCAGAAATATCATGAGTAAATTAGCAAAGGGTAGCACTGAAGGCAGCTTGGAAGATAAAGTGAAATGAAGTGATCACAGTGTCCCTTTAAGCATTCCAGCTACATCCCAGTATACACATATTTAAAGATATACCCAGATATACAGCAGATTGTGGAATGAACACAGTAGTAATTCACTATGAATGAAGGTTCATTTTTAGAGTAGAAACCAGATCCAGTAGAGGTGAGCAAGGCCCGCCTTGCCTTTATATTGTCTTTATTTCCATTTAAATTGAAAATCTGATGTAACAATATAGCAAAATCAAATGAAGATGACATATATATTTTGTGACTTTGCCGGGCCTTTAACAATGTGGTTGATACAGTCAGCCTATACATTAATTCCTATTTTCTATAGGCAGTCTTTTTTTATTTTTTATTCTACAGAAAATCACGCTGATATGTAAACTTCACACAAGCAGAAGTGAAAGCCAGTTTTCAGCATAATTGAAGTAATAGGAAACCATATATTTGTGCAAAGGAGATATATCGAGTGTTTATGTTTCTCTAATTAGGACACACCGTGGAGAGTGTAAAATTTGCGCGTCCTGTTACTTGGTGCCACGATTATATGTAAAAGGAATCATTACAAAAGCCTGATGAATATTTATCAGTTTTCACCTTTGCTTAATCAAACAGAATATGAGCCGCGGGCTCAATCGAGCTGCATTTCACTTGTGTAGTTGTGAATGTTGTTAAAAGTTTGGAATATTTAGAGTGAAACAATTCAGGGGCCGTGACAGTTTCTGTAGAAGTTTGCGAGAAAGCATGGCGGGTGCGAGGGGTGTCTGCCGCTCTATACGTCTTCCAGCACTTAAGGAATTAGCATTTTGAAGGCTGTATACTGTGAATTATCTTGCACTGTCTATATGCCTTGCAGTAGTCTCTCCAGTCATGCAATGCAATTTGCATTTTTACTTATAAATTTGTCTACCCTTTGGTGATAAAGACTCCTGATATATTCACTGATAAGAGGTGTTCTCACAAACAATACTTTGTGGCAGGTTCACACAGAAGTAAAGATTTTGATGGGAGAAGAAGACTGTCAGGGCCGACCCAAGACATTATGCTGAATGGGCCCAAGACTCAAATGCTCGGAATAAAGTGTTTTGTAGTAAAAGGGGTGGGTGGGTGGGTTCACAAAGCATCTCTGGATCTCTAAACTCTCTGAAAGTTAACATAAGAAAGGCTGTAGGTTCATCACACATTCCTCTTATGCAAAATATATTTGCAAATGGTATATAAACCCACATGTAAATGTGCTCACAGGTGGACAGAGCATACAATGTGTTGAATGTTGTCTGGGGAGACAGGTATTTCTGTAGATCACTTTGTCTAACAATTTTCTCCGCAGAATTCTGCTGTATGATGCAGATTAACAGGAAGTCATACGTGCAAAGCAAAATGGCTTCCGCCATCTGTCTTTAATTCAGTAACATGATTGCAAGTATTGCATGCTCTGTCAAAGTACGGAAACTTTTACACAGAGATTTGTGAAAGTTAGAAAATGGTCTTTCATACAGGAGCATTTGTTGTTGTTTTTTTATAGCCTGCCTTTAAGGTTCTTATTTACTTTCTCATAATCAGTAACAGACAGTAGTTTGCTCAAAGAGCAGAAACTGTAGATTCCTGAGTATTTTGCTATTCAATCCCTTAATCTATTCTTTTTAGTGAACACCCAGCCCTTGTAGTAATGCAGGTACAGCAATGACTCACAGACGTAGCCATTACATGCAATCAGTCAGCGCAGGGAGACTCATTCATTGCATAACCTTTTAAATCCAAGCCTGGATCTCTAAAAATGTACCCCTCAATGCCGCAGACAGTACAGACCTTTTCACGCCCAAGAGTCAGCTTTATTGCAGGATTTTCCTATGATCTCTGATAATAACCCAGGGCTTTTCTTAACCTTTGATGTGTCGCATTTAGGAGGAATGGCAAAATAAAGACACCGCCTGAAATTGGTTACCGTCAGGATGAGGCCTGGGGTGGGCAAGTAATTTAATGGAAACGTACTCAGGCGTACCCGAAATCTGAAAGAAATTAAGGGAGGGATCTGTATACGCACAGATAATAGGCTGCTTTACAAGGGAGTTGACAAGTGTCTCGGCAGACACTCTGTATCTGTTACTGTTTGTTGGTGTGCTTATTTTGAATGTTGTGTGATTGCGGCCGTTAGGTGAAATTAGTGGTATTTTGTTTGTAGGATAAAAAACACACTTCAAGGGACACTCCAGGCACCAACCCAACAAGCATGCATTCGATAGCGTCATTTACAGTTGATTCAGTAATTTACCTAGATTATTTTGCATGGTCAGTTTCCTTAGCTATAATGTTATCACTCTCCCTCCATCTCTCCATCCAAACCTGCAGTGATTCTACATTCACTGCATTAGCACAGCTGTAAGTGACTTTGTAGTGTATACAGTGTTATCCTTAATCTTTATTTGAATTCTTTTTTTCCCTATTCGTTCATACATGTGCGGTTATTACAACAACAAAAAAAAGGTTGACGCTATAACTGAATATTAAAGATGCAATACTGTAACTTCACTTATCTAAGGGAACATCTTAGGGACGTACCATAACAACGTATACGCACTGTGCACAGAGACCCATCTCTCCTGTACCTATAACAATCTGCGAGAAGTCTTTCCCTTGTCAGTGGAGGAATCTGTACAATGCGTGTAATTCATTCTGCAGGTCCCCACGTCCCCTGCCTGGCTCTCAGAAAAAGTTAAATTGCGGTTGCACATATGAGGAGTTGGTGATTTGGGGCTAGGCTGTGCATAGCCCCATTCCAAAATCTAGTCGCTGTGGCATGAATGGAACTACTGCTGGGTTCTGGACTACATAACCCATCAACACCTGCTGGATATCATAGACACAAAGAGAGACTCCTTATTGAGGCCTTTTCCTGGTCTGTGAGAGGCAATCTTATATTTCATTGAAGTTTTTGAATGTATTATATATATAGTTGTATTTAGCATCTTTGTTTAAAGCTGTGTCAATATTTACCTCCTGAATCTTGGTGTCCAGGACACACTCCTTGGGTGTTTTTTTTTTTGTTGTTGTTGTGGTTTTCTCTTTATTTTTTTCTGGATTTTTGCGTATAACATCATTTTATGCAAGTCCATGTTGGCCAGCCTAAATCTACCAGGCGTTTAATCTGTTCCCTGCAATTTATTGAGGTGAGGACGGACGTCGCATAGTTTTTGTCAATAGGTAGAGGACAAGATCTGCTCTAGATGTTGATCACTGGCTCTATTTACACTGATCAGTTTTCCACAGTTTCTTGTGTTCTATTTCTGTATAAGGCTGTTCAGCCCCTGTGTGATCTACAAGGCTGTTTTGATGACATTAGCCTGTTGGTTATTGTTCTTTCATCTCACTGCTATAACCCATCCTCTTATTTTGGTTTTCACAAAAATCTTGCATTGCGAAGCGTATTTAACCATTTACTCAAAACAGGATGCACATGGTCACCTATTGATCCGTGCACCAATTATTCCCCAGTCCGGAGTTTTGGAAACAAATGACAAGTTCGTTTGGCTTCTGGGATTGCGTAATTACGTGTCCCAGAGGCAGTGCTGTGCAGTCGGCTAATTGCGTCTGGGTTCCTGAGTTAAAGGAAATTCACTATTAACAGTTCATTTCTACCATGCTAAATCTCTTTCTCAGTGGCCGTCTGATTTTTCCAGGTGAAGATTCTTTCAGTGCTGTGAGTTCAGATAAGGTTTTAGACGTGGATTCTGTTCCTCACATGTAAAAATAATTAATATGAATTAATGTCAAAGGAATGGTACGTGTCAGACTTGCAATCAGGCTGGTTTCAAGCCTTTCTAGACAGATTAAAAGGAAACTGTCATGGAGAAAACTACCTGATCTCTTTTAAAAGAGCTTGAAATTCCATCTATACATTGTGCTAGCAAATGTGTAGCATATCTCGATAAAAACCTATTTAAAAATAGAGAACTAGAAAATGCGTTTTTTCCCCCTTGTCTCCCTGTGACATCACTGAAGATATTTTAGGTCATCCGGAATAATTATAACTGGTACAGAGACACTATATGTATTAGCATAGGGCTGTAGTCATGGAAGAGTGATTGTGATACTTTTCCAAAAAAAAAAAAAAATACAAATATTATTAAACCTTAAATCCAAATGGCAAAATGTAGACTTTAGTAGCTAACAATTACAGCTATTTTAGCTTCCGTCTTGATCCGCTTCAGCTTGGCCGCCCTGAGAGTGTGTGGTATATGTATAAAGTATATTGTTATTTAAAGCCCTTCGAGCGGAATGGGATGTGAAGTGGTTATTATCATGGGGGTTTTACTAGTCATACATTTAGTGTAATAGGTATAAGTCACATGTAAAACCAGCTTTTGAGGAGTCGTGCGCAACTCGTATCTCTATAAAGTTTTTACCGTGCTCGCTATGACATCACAGTGATGTAAAATTAAATCACACTGGGCTTTGCGTGTTATCTTGGTATGTGACCAGCTGTTTTATAGTTATGTTTTTCATAAAAAGGGCGTTTTCTACATTGTGACAATTTAAGGGTTCATATGTATGTTTTTTAAAACATTTTAGTGTCATTGTAAGCAGTATAGGATTCTATGCAATAAATTATGATTTGCACATGGTGATAATTAAATATGGATATAATTTTGGATGAAGAGATTATTTCCTTCCCCAGTTTCCCTTTTTAACTTTTGTACCCCTTCCTTAGTTATTTTCCCTACGTTTTTTATAAAATAATAAAAAGAAAACCAGTGAAAAGGAATTGACAGAATAGAAAATCACGTTTTCATGATCCTTCCCTCATCAGATGGTCATTACAGGAGGATAATACTATGGTTCTAGTTTCCTGAGCACATAATTGTGATGCTGACATATACTGCCAATGGATTGTGTGTGTTGTATATCATAAATGTTCTTAACTGCTTTGTGATGAGTGTATGAATAGAAACATTCCTTAGTAACTGCACCACTTTCACAACTATTTAGATTTCTAAAACGTGTCTCCGGTAGAACCTTTACTCTACATATCCATATTCATGGATCCCACACTTTGTAAATAAATGATGATCAGCTCCCATTTATTTCTGCTAATACTGTCCAACAAGTATTAATGATCAATTTCAGTTTTTAACAACAGCGGACAGTGTGAAGGTAACGGAGATAAAAAGTACATAGCCGAGCCTTTTTTTTTCAAACCAACACATGTTTTTTGCCTCCATTTTGCAATTTGGTTTACATTTGGGAATATAGTAAATAAGCCCCACTGTCTCTGTATTGCAGCTGAGAAACACACAGCTTTGTGTAACATGACACGTGCCCCTGGGGCAGATTAATGATGGGGCAATGCTCCACAACCCGTGTTATTGTTAATATTTTAGAATGTCTTATTGTATGAAAATATGTTAAAACTGTGTAGGATCCATAGCACGTATCCATGGGACAGGCGATAGAGAACACAACACAAGGGTCGGGTTTTCTACAGAAGTTTAAAATATTTTGGTTTTGTTCAAATAACTGATTTTACAAACCTATTCTGACTCCGCTGTTTTGGCCAACACATTTAACCTGTCTGTTCTATACAATTTCCAGTTTAGTTAATGGACAAAGCTGCCATTTGATGAGTTAATTTAAGGACACAATGTACTTATCAGTCATTTAATATGCCTCGTGGGTTGCCACAAGGCAGGGAGAAGACATGTGGTTATTATATATAGGAACACATTATTCAGAATATGCTGTGACTTGCACACAAACAGATGTTAGTGCAAGACTATTAGGTAAATGATAATCTATGTGTGTGCACATCTCCTGCATATAGCGTAAGTGGGCAGTGTGCACTGGGTACAGGTACTTAGATGGCTCAGTTTGGAATTTTTTCCCCCCTGTGATCTAAGGGTGTTGGACTCCTGGAATTTAGGATAAATATTCAAATAGCAAGTTTAGGGGGCTGCATGCTAGCACCAGAACCGCTGTAGCTGTAGCAATTTAATGACCTGATTGTATTGCAGATTTTGTCACTGCAACCAAATAAGTCACAACGTCTCAGGAGCTGGATTCAAAAAATTATTATTCAAAAAATTATTCCTAATTGTACTTCTCCAATGATGTATGTCCCCAAATATACATAATACACCACTGTAATGGCATGAGCTAAAACTGCCGGAGTGTGACACTCAGTCAATTTGTGCAGATGTAAATACTCCAATTACCACCAGTAGATCATGTGGCTATGATTGAGCTGTGTTAGTGGATGTGTTCTAAAGGCTGGCAAAGCGCATGGCTGTTGTAGTTCTAGAACATCTGGGGCTCCACATTTTGCCCAAGATCAGTGGTTCCCAACCTGAGGTACGAACCAGTTCCCCAGGTGAAAAAAATCTGTTTTGGCGGAACTACCGCCAGTGTGGCTGCACTGGGCCCGCTACCTAAGGGGGCCCATCGGGTGGCCCATGACCCGTGCACTTAGGATCACCCAATGGACATGTGTCATCAGGGGCTCATCTGTAAAAGTGTGACTGGGCTCATTTCTTATCTGCCACCAGTGCTGGGAGAAATTGAAAGCTGGTCACTTCATCCTAGCTAACAGAAGCACCCAAGAGTTAGGAAATTAGAGGGTTGGCTAAAATTGTTATCGGTGTGTGTTTTTATGTGTGTGTCTTTGTCTGTATGTGTTAGTGTTTGTATCTGCAATATTTACATATGCCTGGGGCATAGGATAAACGGAGGGCAGGGGAGTGGCAGGAAGAGCCCATGTGGAGCTGGGGGCAGGGAAGGGACAGGGGGAGCCTGGGGCAAAGAAAAACATTTGATAATTACAAACATTTTGCTCATATAGAAGGGTACAATTTATGGAAATGGACTGCCATGGGGAACACAACTGAAAAAAGGTCGGGAACCACTGCCCTAGATGATTGTGACCAAAGTTGTAGAACAAACATTATCCCATGAGTTGTAATCTGAAAAGTGGCAACCATCAGGTACAATCCAGGGGTGATTACTTACTTTGATAAATCTCCCCAAAGGGTTTTGGCTGAGAGGACATAGTGAGAGATGCATTTCACAATATCTGGTAAAATACCTTTCCTATAACCACTGACTCGTAATGGACAGACTAAATCTGTGCGGCGCTAGATTGACACATTACACTTACAGTAAAACACTGTCCTCCTTGTCAATAAGGAACAGATCCCTTAATGTTCTTATTGCTTTTCTAGGAGTTCAACCTTCTATATGAGGAAGCAAAATATTACCAGCTCCATCCCATGGTCAAAGAACTGGAGAGATGGAAACAGGACAAAGAACATCGAAAGCACTTCCAGCCATGCGACTGTCTGGTTGTGAGAGTGACCCCTGACCTTGGAGAAAGGATTGCGTTGAGCGGAGAGAAGGCATTAATAGAGGAGATCTTCCCAGAAACTGGAGACGTTATGTGTAACTCGGTGAACGCCGGCTGGAACCAAGACCCAACCCACGTCATTAGGTTTCCTTTAAATGGTTACTGCAGGTTAAATTCTGTCCAGGTAAGATACTCCGTGTGCTTATGTACTACTGCCTAATGTGTTCATAATACTGGAGATAAAACAAAACAAATAGAGGGTGGTAGGTAGATTATCTTGGTATACCTCCATTAATCTGCACTGACCTATGGCCTTTGCACAGGTTATGGTACAAGGAGTTTCCTGTATCACTGTATGCAGTTGCTTATATCTGCAGTAATTTGCAAAAACTTTGTTTTCCTTCCTCGTTTGCCATCCAAAGTCGTCTACCATGTGCACGTTTAATACTTCCTCCAGAGCAGTGCTGGGTGGGAAAATGCAGAGTCTTTGGCTGAGATGAGATTATTTAACAGTTCCATTTATAAAATCTAAATAATGCAACGGCAGCTAGGGATATGCTACATAGGGGTTTATATGAAAAGATGATAAGACTCTATAGACTGGAATGAGAGCATCCTGATTGGAGAGGCCTCTTCCTGGTCTGTTTTTTGTTTTTCATTATTTTGTTGCAGGTGTTTGAGTGGTATAAAACTGTGCTGAATTTGATTTACTGGAGACATCTGGGGTTAGCCAAGGTGACGGAGATTTCAAATAAATTATTGTTCTAGATATCTCACACTGTAGCGAAACAAACACTGTGAAATTTGTACACCAGTACTTTCTCTCTAAGATGACACAAGGTTTGTTTGTAAAATCCTATTTTCTAAGGCCATACACACCTCTGGTCATTCCTACAGTCCTCTGCCAGGTGAGATTAGAAGAAAATAGATTTTTAAGTCGAAAAAAAGAAACATTTTGTTTTATGCCACCATCGTGATACTTTCATCAATTAACGTCCTGGAGGTGTTTCTCCAAAACGCCCTGCAGTATGTAACATTACGTTCCAAAAAGACAAAAAAATGTTCTGAGAGTGCAACAATGTACAAATGCATAATTTATGTCTTGCTCATAATTAAATGATGATGCCTGCAGTAAGGACTTAAAAGAAATTGATCTTTTTTTTTTTTTTTGTAAAGTGTGTATATATTATATATAGTATTACAGAGGATCTATAATGGAGAACAGCGTGTTAAGGGGGAAATAATGCTATCTTGAAGTTCTGAAGACATTACAACAAGCCACAAGACTGCAGGTCGAGTGTTATAGAAATTTCTCCAGATCCCCTGATCCTACGTGTTCTGCTTTCTTTATATTACAGGATACGTTTAGGTTAAGGCAGTGGTTCCCAAACTTTTTAGGTGCAAGGCATCCTTAATATTTCAATAGGTTTCCAAGGCGCCCCAAGTTAACAGAATTTCCTAGGTTGTATATGTGTACAGCACAGCAGCATATACTGGGTCCCTGTCCGGCAGAAATGCTTGCCATTCAAGCGCAGAGCCAGAACCTAATCTTGGGAGGGGCACTGGCAGATTATTTAAAGAAACAATCCAGGCACAAAAACCACTACAGCACTTTGTAGTTACAGTTCTAGGACAGCAACTTCAGCTGCATATCACTTTCTCAATTTTAGCACAACCTAACAACCAACTTAAACTTATCTACGGGTTGTGATTACATTCCAGTTTATATTATTTTCATTAAAGGGACACTATAATCACCAAAACACCTTTAGCTTAATGAAGCAGTTTTGTTGTATAGATCATGCCCCTGCAGTTTTACTGGTCAATTCTATGCCATATAGGAGTAAAATCACTTTGTTTATACAGCCCTAGACACACCTCCCTGCATGTGACTTACACAGCCTCCCTAAACAATTCCTGTGAAGAGTCATCTAATGTTTACCTTTATTCTGTTTAATTTAGAATGTCTTTTCTCCTGCTCTGTTAATAACTTGCTAAACCCTACAGGAGCCTCCTGTATGTAATTAAAGTTAAATTGCAGAGCAGGAGATAAACTTTTAAAGTAAGTTACATCCGATTGAAAATGAAACCATTTTGTTTTCATGCAGGCCGTGTCAGTCACAGCCAGGGGACGTGTGGCTAGGGCTGCAAAAACAGATACAAACGTTATTTAACTCCTAAATGGCAGTGAATTGAACAGCGAGACTGGAGAGGCATGATCTATAAACCAAAACTGCTTCATTAGGCTAAATTTGTTTTGGTAACTATAGTGTCCCTTTAAAGGGAAAATATAGTGCCACAAAAACAAAGTTGTTTTCCTGGCACTGTAGCTGCTTATGGCGTGCTCCCTGTGGTGCAGAGCAGAGGGGGTTAAAAAAAAAAGCTCTGTCACTTACCTGAGTCCAGCGCCAATGTCCCTCGGCGCTGACCCAGGCTCCCCGCGCTGCGCTGACATCCGTAATATTATGCTTTTTTTATGGGGGTTTGGGTGATGCTGGATGTCCTTATGCATAGTATCAGGATATCCAGTATAAAGAGACCAAAAGTCGTCTAACGACCAGGAGGTCCCCAGAGGTGGAGTTAACCCATAAAGGTAATTATTTCAGGTTCTTAAAACCTGCAATAGATTGTCTTTGCTGGGTTTAGGGACCTGGGACACTGCACCCAGATCACGTTGATTAGCTGAAATGGTCTGGGTGCCCATAGTGTCCCTTTTAACATGCTTTGCAAGACAAAGCCCAATAAAGTATGTAAATGAGTGAGCCCCTGCAGTGGTGTTTGCATGGCACCTGTGACTGCCCCGATTTCTCAGATTGAGGCATCATGTGGTGGCGAAGTTCAGTGGAGGTGATGCTAAGGAACACATCACATATAAAGATTTAGCCTAAGTAACCGTAATCGGTTTTTTTTTTTGTTTTTTTTTTAAAGGAACAATTAATTTCCTTTCCAGATAGGATGTCCATGTCACCTATACACAGATTATGTTAAACAATAAAATAAATATCAATAAGGAATAATAACTTACATTTAGCTAGATCTTGAACAGGTGCTGGCAGTGCCCCTTTAAGAAGCATGATCATGTGGGTTTTCTTGGTTCAATTTCTGTGGCATGGATAAACTGGAAAAAGACAGTAATCAAAAATGTTAAGTTTGCAGGAAATATATGGCACTATAACAAACGGTATATATACCTTTTTCACTCCATTTTTTAAATGGGGAACTATGGATGTCAGCTGACACTCCAATTGGGACTGAGTCCAAGGGCTTCCCGATTGAAGCCTGGGGCTGAAATAGAAATACAGGGGGCAGAGCTGAAGACTTTGGGGTTTAAAACAGTAACCCTAAGGTAAGACCTCCTCACACCATAACAACTTAATTCTGTTGTTATGGTGCCTGGTGTGTTTCTTTAAAAAAAATAAAATAATTTATATATATATATATATATATGATTGTATCAGAGTCCATAACTCACCCTTTCATTCTTTCCTCGGTTGATCAAATAAGTACCATTCACCCATTGCGAGTGTGCTAATCTATGGGGAAGTTGCCCCGAACATAGAATTGCGGGATTCCATGCCCTAGTGAACTGGTCTATGTTTGGGGGAATTCCCCTTAAACATAGACCTGCTTTCTAGCACATACTTGCTCCAGTTTTCCACCAAAATAAGACACCCCTGAAAATAAGCCCTAGTGCGTTTTTCAGGGGGAAAATTATTATAAGACCCGGTCTTATTTTGGGGGAAAGGCGGTAGACATGTGAGGGATTGCTGTACTCTGAATGTAGGAGATCTTTAGCGTTTGAAGTAGTAGGTTACACAGGACCTGTGAAATGTACCAATCCAATTTAATATGTATGTGAACAAAATAAAATGTACAGCTAAGTTTGATGAAATGGTAAACTGAAAAGACTCTGCCTGCGCTATTTCATACAGGGCATTTTGTCATCTGCTGGTATGCCAGGATTGGGGTAACATTAATTGCAAATTGACAATTTAAATCTAACTTATTAAAACCATGTCAAAAGTCTAGATAGGTGCTGTACTCAAGGAGCATGGCAGATTCCAAACATAAAATAGTTTCACTACTAACATTGGGGGTGTCAGGTCACTATTGGTACCATAACCACTGCAAAAGGGTTAACTCACAGTGTTTAAGAGTTTATCTAAACTAATCATTTCAGGTCAGCCAACAGCAGTTAGAATGAAAATGTAAGTGAACTGCAAGCAGGAAGAGATACCAATAAAATAGTCCCTATATTTGTACAACAGTAACTTGAAAACAACATGTAGCCAGATTTTGATAAAGAATTTGAGCATGATAAAAAGAATGCAGGAACACGGCCGAGTCACTTTAAAGCTGAAGGACTGCATGATGCAATATATATTTTATGTAAAAATTCAATACTTGTACTGTCTGTATAAAAAGGAAACCTGCACAAGTTTGGGGCTCTGATTATCTCAAAGGACTTTTTGTCCCTTGTTCGTTGAGTATATTTCAGTTTTTCCAGACGTAAGGGTTATTTTTAAAAGCTGTGACTTTTCTTCTGTCTACTCCAACACTTAGTGTTCATTTGTTACCTTCCTTTAGCAAAACAACAAGAAACTTGTAGATAGTGTATCATGATTAACAAGCACGTACCTCGTGGCTCGTCACCTTCCCTACGTAAACGTATCCTTGTCGTGTCTTGCAGGTCTTGGAGAGATTATTTCAGAAGGGATTTCACGTGGCAGCTTCGTGTGGGGGTGGCGTTGACTCCTCTCAGTTTAGCGAATACGTACTCTGCAGAGAGGACAGGCGAATGCAGCCCAACACAATACGGATAAAACAGGAACCTCTGGACTGACGCACCAGGAGTTAACTTTGTAATCACAGAAGTGTTCAAAAATCCTCTACGGGAAACCCTGAGGATCTGCAAAACAGTATTAACAGACTATGTTTGACTTGTCGTTGCCAGTTTGTGATATCTTGAAAGTACTTATAACGTCACGATACAAAAGGCCCGGTTTCACTATGAAAGCATAGAACTATTGTGCCTGGGCCTCGCTACAGCTGTGCTGTGGGAAAAATACATTCACATTCTAATGGTTCAAACCCATGAATAGCATTGAAAAACTGAGCATATTAAGAGGAATTTACAGTATTCTGAGGTGGATGATACAGAAACACTTTTTTTTTTCTGGAGCTATAACGATCACAGACTTTTTATCCAAGTCCTAAAATGTTAGTGACAAAGCTACACGTCACTCAGAGACTTGTTAAAGACCAATGAACGCATACCAATGAGGTATCAAGTTAAAGAACAGACATGTTTATTTTTAAATGGATGGAAACCTGAAAGTAAATGGACAGGCACTTACCCTAAAATATTCTGAACTATAACATATTATAACTTAAACTATCTCTTTTTAAAAATGTACCCAGTGTCACAGAGGACAATGAGTTTTTATAGCAAATTCTGCTGAATTCTTTTTATTACAAAACTATTGCCTCGATCCCAACGTTTTTCTTACCCTGCATGTTCTGACACAAGTTTTAAAAAAGAAAATCCGTGTAGAAATATTAAAAAAAAATGAATAATAAAATTGGCAGTTTATTGTAATGTTAATTTTAAAAAAATGTGTTAAATCATTGCTGCAGAACTATGATGACTTCTTTATATATTGTTTCCATATAACCTGACATTTGAACAAATAATTTGATGTTTATTTACTAAACGCAGAACTGTATTGAATTAGAAATATTTTTCCAACTCCGTTATAACCACACAGGCTATTATAGCTATAGATTTTTAAATTCAATACAATTTGCCGTTTAGTTTGTAAACCTCTCACTTGAGATTGCTTGCATGTTTACGCTGGTCATTAAAGTGGTTCTGTCACTGTCTGGGGTTTTCTCAACGTTTGCAAAGACCCCTGACGGTGACGGCTCTGCTTGGTGTCCACAGGGGAAGGTGAGTTTACTTACCTGAGCCTGTTCCTGTGTGGCCGCCACTATGGTCTTCCTGCCGGTCCTCTTTAGATGCCTGGTGCCCACGTCAGTGTTGTAACTCTCGCAAATGCGCAAGACTAAATCACTGACTATGCGTTAGTCCATAGGATACTCCATAGACAGCCTTTTCCCCCAAAGCTACTAGTGACGGCTGGGGAATGACAAAACTTGACAAAAGTCGCTCAGCTAGAATTTCAGTAAAACTTCCAATTCAGTCGAAGTGAGTATTTCATAGAGATTTTGACAGCAGCCAAAACAATCAGGTGCACTATAGATATATATGACTTCAATAAAGTGAATTGTATACAGACCTGACTTCTCAATGTCTTTTACATCACATTAAAAGCATCACTTTCTTGAAGGGGAAAGGAGACACAAAAATGTTTACTCTCAAGAAACTGTTTCTTAAGATTGTTTTAACTTTCCTGTTTCTGGTCCAGCTATTTTCCATATTAAACACAAGTTAGTGGTAATATATGCATGGTACAATTATTTTTATATTTTATGTTTGAAATTCCTTCCAACCACTAAAGTCTATAATGTCAGGAATTCAAAGTGAATTTCACAGGGAATACTTATAATTAAAGAAATGTGTTTTAAAGGAACACTCCAAACACCATAGTCACTACAGCCTTCTGCAGTGTTTATGGTGCCAGGAGTGCTCTGCTGCCCTCGCAGGGTGGTCTGACTACTTACCTTGGGTTTACCAGGTGCCTGTCACTGTCGTGCAGCGCGAGCTCGTTGGCTGGGTGTGTCAATCGAGGCTTATTTCAGTGGCTGAGGTGGGGGCGGGCACCTAGGGGGGGCCTAGGTATGTTCTTAAACGGTTTGGGCACTCCTGGCATCTGCAGGCTTCAGTGGTTATGGTGCTTGGAGTTTTATTTTGTTTTTTTAAAGCCTGGAAAAGCAGCAAATGTCAGTGGAATTAGTGGAATTTTGTGGATAGTTGAAAAAGAAGAAATATGAAAGCAGATTTAATCTAAGTTCCTGACTTTCATCTCTGTGCTAAGTTTGCAACAGGGTTTGTGGCTCTCAAAGCGTGTTTACTGGCTTATTTCAGTATTATTACTATGCTGCAAATCAATGTAGTGGGACAGGAGCCAGACAATTCAGAGTTTAGTAAATCCCACAACACACAAAATGTTTCCAGTGATAAGTTCCACACCAAAGCAAAAAAGGCAACCAACACCAGATTCGCCAGTAGTACGTCTTTAAACCATCCCCCAAAATGAAGCGAAACGCAGCTTTCTCAGCCCGAGCTCATGTGGCAGGTATCGAGGTAAAAATAGATTCCTGTTAAATCCTGTCTGTTTAACATGTGGTTGGTCTCAATCAATGATCCTGGTGTTAATCACGCTTTCCCCCCACTCTTATTAATTTATAAATATATTGGAGTGACACAGCGAGCATCCGTGAGAATGTATTAAACGGCAACCTCTGGCAAGTAAGATCTTCCAACCGCAAAATGTGGAATTCACAACTAAACTCTGGAACCAAGTTACAACGTACTTTATTCCACAATATTATAACGTCTAAAGAAAAAAATGATTTGTGAAGACTGGGGCGTTAGGCCTGGAGTGGGCAGCCCGTTCTTCAAATTTGTACATAACCCGTATGTAGAATTGTATATTATACATTATTGTAAAACAAAAAAAAAAAGGAAAAATAAAAATATTGTAATGTACCTGTGCCCACTTATTTCTAATCCAAATCATGCCATCAACTTTTATGTACAGTAAACGATAATAACCGTTAAAATTGTATGTGGTTTCATTTATTGCATTTTGCGTTTATACACTACACAACTATTATTTTGCTCTTCAATTTTGATACCCCAACCAAACTGCTGTAGGTCTATCAATGAAGGGTTTATTTACGGCAAAAGACATATTGGAGTAAAACCACCATACATTATGAGGAGACGAAGTATTAGTATTTTAACCCCTGTATGAAGTCCAGTCTGGACTATACTACACATTATATGGCACAGGCCATCCTGGTAAAGTTATGGTTCTGCATTATATTTCTTCTTGAGCCAACATGAGACCTGGCCTGCTGTGTAACTAGCATAAATATTGTTTTTATCTTCTTATATTTGTTAAAGTATTACTTCAATTTAAACTGAAAACAAGGCAACCTTTATTTTACACTAAAATAGAATCAACTTTGTATTTTTGTGGCTAATCTGCTATTGACCTTACTGTCGTCGGAGATGTCTGGATGAGCACATCCATGTAAGTTGTGTTTGAGGCAGAAGGCGGAGAGTGAATGGTAGAGGGGCTGATGGAAGAGCCAAAGGAATGGGACCGGAAGTGTAGTCGGAAAATGGTTTAAAAGTTCTACAGATGTAGCCAAAGGATCAGCAGAGGTTTGTGACCAACTTCAGGAAGTCAGGAAACAAAATACAAGAATGTTGATAAGTTCAAGGGCTACAGGTCTCTGACAAGTCAGCAAAAAGTAGTATGTCTGGTGGTTTAGAGGAGAGAGAATTGGGATAAGAAAACAGGGAAAAGACAGCATTATTTCATCTTTAGTGACTCTTCACTATGTGTAATATCGAACCATCTCTGGAACATGGTAACAAGAAATTAAAATGGCAATGAGTCTCTAAATTTGCAATCTAGTTAATAAACAATGACTGTACCGAGGAGTGATAAATAATCGGTGTTGTCATGCACACAATGATAATAATATAGCCAATATTACCCAGGGACAATTATGTCGTCCACACCTTGCAAAAGAATTCCAAGTGTAACTATTATCCCCTGAGATTGACAGAGTGCCTTCAGAGCTCCTAGTTAAGATTGTGTTATTTTTTGGATATTACAGTCTAATTGCCGGATAGATAAAAAAAAAAAAAACACAAAAAGATGCAGATTGCATTTCACAAATGCTTTAAGGTTTGACAGCAACATCGACTTTATTATAATGACATACATTAATAGTGTCATCCACAATTACTTTTTTCCCTCTCTCTCCCTTCAATAAATACAGTAACTCATCTTAATTTGGCCTGGAGTTTGAAATCCATGGCATTCATATTATAATGTGTATGAAAATGTTTGTTTTTTTGTGGGGTGTGGGGTGTGGGGGGACCAGCAGCATTGAAAAAATTCTCCAGGTCTGCTTTGTATGCAGCACTGTTATTCTGGCCTAAATTTTTAATTTCTCCCAACATTTCCAGTTTAGGAAAACATTTTGCAATGTTTTATCATCTTGTGGGATGAACTTTGCCTGCGCACTCTTGCTACTGAGCACTTCCTGTGCATGCTTATTATTGTACAGCACAACAGGAAGTGAATATGAAAAGAAAGATGTCTTGTCCATGTTGGCCAGCCTTGAAAATCATTTACACATTCTTAAAAACCTTCACTTATATAGTTATGCTCGGCAGCCGGTGACTGGATTTAGAAGCACTTTGTTCAATTGTTGGTTACGGTTTTCCTTTGCTTTCCCTATAACCCAATGTAATCTAAAACAATCAAACACAACATAAAGAACACAAATGATTGCTAACAAAGTCCCAATCTATAAAAACACTGCTGTTTGCCACTTGGACACAGGACTGCGGTTAGCCCTTAGGAGTGTACGCATATAGACTGGAGAAAGGCATTGAAGTGTTAGTGAGCAGATGGAATTTCTTGCAATGAAATATTCCGCATGAATAGCTTGGCCCGGTGACCAACACACTTAGATCATTAGCTGTGAAAACAACCCATATTAGAATGGGTGCAGCCCTGGGTATTCAGACTATCCTGTATAAATACACAGTTCTGCCAGTAGGAAGAATCCTCTACTCATGGTAAGGTTTGTTAGACTGGCAAAACTGCTGGGGGCCAATGGAAGACAATATTGGATGCTCCAATTGTTCTGATTAACTGTTATAAACACCGTCCGCGTTCTAGGTTAGATTGCACCAAAGGTATAGCTTTTGCAAACAGTAGAACTAATAATGAGCAAGTCTCAGTAACAAGACACATTTGGCTGGAGCCCCATACCTCCATACAAACCCCTCTGTCTCTTTTTGTTAACATCCTCTGTAGCTAGCTTCTAACCGAGTCACACACAATAGATACTGCACTAAGGAGAAACATACCACAACAGGGCTCGAAAGGAATGGGCTAGTATAGTAGCTCCAAATAAAAAAACACTAAGTTTACCATGTATAGTTAATCATGTATCTAATGATAGATAGATGCTAATTAAAGAATTACACTGCAGGGCAAGATTAATGTCATAGTTCCCGTGCACTTTTCTATCCGTATAAATAGGCCTCTGCAATTAAGTCTGATTGCCCCGGTGTACAGATAGAAGTAACTGCAGCACATTCATTTGAGGCTGTCTGTGTCCAAATCACTGTAAAATGAGAGAGATAGAGTGTTGTCATAGCAGTGATGTGACTAACACCGTTACACAATGGGTTCTGTGCCGTGATGACGCCCGGTCCATCAGTTTATCCAATGCAGTAATCCGGCTTCAATACAGCCAGAGGGGGGCCTTAAGGTGAAGGGATACCTGCCTTCAAGATGCTGTGGATGGAAGCTTCCATCGCTATGTATGAACTAAGAGTCATGGGAGTTGCCATCCTTCACATCTTGAAATGGTAACCTGTTTTCAAAACTCTAACAGGGTAAGCCATTAAAATAAATAAATTATATATATATATACACATACACACACATATATAATTAAAATCCAAAAGGCAAACGTAAAGTTAATACAGCAAAGTGTGAATATAGCTAAGATGGAGAAATTTGCATATCAGGTATGTTTAGTTATTTGGTCTTTAATCCATTACAATTGAAATTCAGTGTATAAACCTTTAGGTCCCTCCCAACCTTAATGCAAACCCTTGGGGCATCATATAATATTAAGCTGGCGCTATATAAATACCAATAATAATATAAAACAGTGCCCGTTATTAGGAACCCTGCACTCAAACAACCCTCTCATCATTTAAAGCTCGCCTATTTCATCAGAACGGTTTCAACAGATACCCTATATCCACTAGCATCCTATGTAATCGTTAATCTGTGCTGGAGATATCACAGCAGGCCGCAGTGATGAATTATGAATGTGGTTCTCCGAACACATGTCAGAGACCAGGTTTGTTCTGCATACTTGGAAGGCCAATCTCTCTTGTTTTTGCCCTCGGCAGCAGAGACGTTAAAGGTGGCTTATGCCTGGAGCAGTGTTTGACCCCTGGCGAGTCATTTCACAGAGGAGAGAGGCTCGGGGGTGGCTTAGCCTTTTGTGCATTGTGAGAAAGCCCAAGGGCAAATTATTAACATTCGTATTCAGGTTTTTCTAAGTCACATTTCTATGAAACAACATAATTTTCAGCTTTTTTACTTTCTTATTTAACAGAACCAGAGTAAAAAAAAAATAAACTTATTGAACATTTTTAACCCCTTAAGGACACATGGCATGTCTCACATGTCATGATTCACTTTTATTCCAGAAGTTTGGTCCTTACGGGGTTAAAGCCAGAGGTGAGGATAAACACCATCAGCAATAGCATATTATACACACATGGATGCGGGGGGGTGGAGGGGTAAATACCCCAGGTTATGAGGGTAAAAGGGGACAGATCTCCCCCCGCTCCACATTTATGCTGCTGTTAAGACTACACGCTTTTACCGTTCATCAAGTTGGCTATCCTTCCTATATAGCATTTAGAACAATGACATTTTAACAACGTGATCCAAAATAAATCTACTCTATCTGTATATCCACTCATAGCGTGAGGTCAGTTGCCATAAACTATGAGATATCTAAGTTAATTTCTGTCCCTGTAAAAGGACACTATAGTCACCTGAACAACTTTAGCTTAATGAAGCAGTTTTGGTGTATAGAACATGCCCCTGCAAACTCCCTGCTCAATCCTTTGCCATTTAGGAGTTAAATCCCTTTGTTTATAAACCCTAGTCACACCTCCCTGCATGTGACTTGCACAGCCTTCCATAAACACTTCCTGTAAAGAGAGCCCTATTTAGGCTTTCTTTATTGCAAGTTCTGTTTAATTAAGATTTTCGTATCCCCTGCTATGTTAATAGCCTGCTAGACCCTGCAAGAGCCTCCTGTATGTGATTAAAATTCAATTTAGAGATTGAGATACAATTATTTAAGGCAAATTACATCTGTTTGAAAATGAAACCAGTTTTTTTTTTTCATGCAGGCTCTTTCAATCATAGCCAGGGGAGGTGTGGCTAGGGCTGCATAAACAGAAACAAAGTGATTTTACCATCAAATGGTGACCTTCTCTAAGCAAAGGTGCACTTAACAGATATTCATTGATCCACCTGTGCGACTGTAAGGGACCCTGGCAGCCCGTGCTGTTTAAACATTTGAAGGCTGAGCTGTAATAATTCTCCTTCCTGCTTCCTCCATAATGTGCTGACTTTAATATATTTCTTATCCTGTCTCTTTATGGAAATACTGCTTTCAATTGAAACAGTTCAAAGTACCCTGACTGCTAAACATTGCATTTAGATAGAACCAGTTCGTACACAATGTTTGTTACACCCAGAAACGTCAAGCTGTCCTTAAATGGTTTGACTACTTCCTTACACTGGGAAGGTGTCAGGGTACTTTTGTCATAACAGCTACAGCGTACTGTATTGGTAATGGTACTCGGAGTGTTCTTTTAATGTAATTTAGGAAGAAGCATGCACCAAAAAGGAAGAACAGTGCACTTGCTGTATAAGGGATTACTTCCCCCTGGGTGCTCCGGACAGGAGTGACAAGTCCCCTAAGGT